CCTATTAAATCAGAAGCTGCGTGAAGTCGTAACTTTAATGCCTATCCAAATCTGGGCTTGTGAAAATTTATGTTTATATCGGATTGGCATCTCTTGTCTAATGGCGCCTTGTTGCGACAGATTCAATAATGTAAATTCATTGTCAAATAGTTTAACATATTTGCAAAAGCGACCACCGCACTCATACCAATGTATAGTGTAAAAGTCTGGAAATAATGCATTATTGCGCATAATAACATGATGTACTAATGATCTGCAACTTATTCTAAAACCTCGAATTTCGGAATCTGCTTAGAAACCCACTACATGCAAGGCTACCGTCAAAGTAGACCTATCAACAATAATAAACCACATCTCTGCACGTATCTTACTGTTTAAGTAGCTTAGTAACATCGACCTCAAGACGCAATGGCTAAGTTGTCAAGGAATAAGAACAATCTGACGAATAGCAACCGAACTTTTAAACCTAAGCCAAGTCCATTTCAAGTACTTGAGCAGCGGAGGCCTAATAAGTGTTGGTATTGTAATGAGGCATTCTTGCATTGAACCGATTCACGCAAGCCACTCTGCAGTTCGTGGGTGTCAGCTAGATAAGTCTAAAGCCATTTATTCCAAAATTTGTGGAACCGTATCAGCAATTAAAAAATTACCTCCCTCAATGCATGCAATAAAACACGAAGTCTATTCTCATAAGGGAAAGAAGCTTCGAATAAATCTGTGTTTTGCTTTTTTAAGAGAGTTGACGGCATCAAATAAAATAGCAAATGAATTAGCTTGGAAGAGGTTGAACTGATCTACGGTAGTAAAATATTTGTGTTAACGGAATGCTGAACAACGTATTAACTAATTTTCCCCTGATTGGAGTTTTGCGCTGAGGAATTTCCATACGTCATGCCAGTAGCTTCGCAGCTCTTCTATACATCGACAATGCATATATCGTCTACAGAATCACGCCTCTGTTGACGACAGAGGCAATTGTTATACAATTGACCGCTTAATTGCAGAATGGCTCAATATGCGCTGGCTAGACAAAACTTCAGTAGAGCATACGTCAGTTTGTCTTACCTCACAACTTCAAATAAAAGTGAAACACTAAGTATAATGGTGCGGTCTGAATAAATGTATCTCGCGTCTACGGTCAGTTAAACCACTCTGTTGGGTTTCGACAGTCATTGGTCAACGAATGACAACAAACACTGCTCGGCGGTAGGGTGGAAACAATAATGGATTGGCAGATACTTGTAGTGGCTAGATGGGACTGGCATTATCAGGACAGCTGCAGTGCTGCGCATTCTTCTACACCACATTTTCGTTGAAATGTCACCTGCCTAGCAGTCTGCAACGGATAGGGCCTACGACTTGCTCCATACCTTACTCTTTACAATATAATGGAATATATGAAGGAAGAGCCCAATTAACCGAGTCTTCCGGTATCATCTAGCCCCGTCATCAGAGGATGAAAGGAATAAATGATCTGTCGATGATGACAAAGAAGGATGTTGGAGGCTCGAACGGAGATGAAAAACATGTAAGTAATGGGGACTAATTGACCGAGTCAATCACTGCCGGTAACTGCAGACACAGAGGGACGTGGAGAATGCCTGCGCATATCGAGCAGGAATCTAACGACGTCATTTATGAGCACAAGAGTTGCCAGGACTGGACTTGTGTAAATGTCGTTAATCTAACTCAGGAGAGCATTCAACTAGTCGAATTCTGCATGCATGTACGAATGTTGTGCACTAAATGCTGTTAAAGTAAGCTTGTTGGGGTCAATTCTCTGGTGATGGGTACCAGATCCCAGTACTGGACTTTGAAACAGTTAACAGTAATATTCTAGGACATTTCATTCGAAGCTCCTTGATCACGGCCTATAAAATAAATATTGTGAGCCTACAGAGAGAAGATTCCACGTCTTAGATTGTACAAACAACTTCGGGATCGCTAGCAGCTAACTATGCCTCGGCTGTATGCATGCAAAAAGCAAAATCATGACAGGAAGACTGGTCATTGCATATACCGGAAGAGCATTTAAAATCAACATAAACCTTCCAGCCGTTACTAAGAGTTCCACAGTTTGAACAAACATAGCGATAAATCAGAAACACATTATTTAGTAGAATCATTGAGTATGTCCATTTGACTTATAAGCCAATCTCAAATCCCCTCAAATAGGGCAGTAGATAGATGAAGTGAGTTTCGTTTAGTCACGGCTAACAAAGAAAAAGTCAACCAACAATTCGTCTTGCATTTTGCATCACATTGAAGAAGTAAATGCATATTATTCAAATCCCTCAAAGATCAACTTCTTTGACTCACAGGCTAATTTAAAATTGATTTTACTTGGGCATTATGGCTATAAATTGAAAAAATTTATTTAAATATCTCCTCATTTGTATCTCAAATTTGCCATATTTTGGGCTCTGGAAGGATAAAATTGAGCTTTGCTTAGTCACTGCTACCAAAGACAGAGCCTCGGCCCCTGGTACACGTGTAATACTTACGTTGTTTTAATGTGCCTTTTAGGGAGGGGGTAACCCGGAAATTCGAATCTGGTGAGAGGGTCGTCGCCTTCCGTGCCTAGTTGCGATTGCGATTCTTCCCCGCCCTAAACATTGTACCTTTCCTCCCAATCTTGACCCTTTAATAAAAATGCCAAAACCAAATCAACCGGGCTGTTCTAGGAACACTAGGAACAGGGTAGAGGAGACCCTGCCAGACATTGGAGAAATGCGCAAATTACTGATCTTGATACGGCTTTGATACACGAGAAGTTTCTGGCATCCTCGCATAGGTCTCCGTCGGAAGAGATAACGTCGACCAGCAAGGCGGCTAGATGGAGCTAGCAAAAATGGTAGAGACCTTCTCTAGAGGATGAGATTTTATGGTACCAAGAAGGTGTTTACTCTCCCGGGCGTCTAGTAGTTCCTGGATCACTAGCGCAAACAGTTCTGCAAGAGTTACACGAGCAACTCGGCCACGTGGGTGAAAAGTAGATGTTAGACGCCTCGAGCAAGAGATACTGGTGGCCTTCGCTTACCTTAGATGCTCGGGATTTCTGCCAGACGGTTGCTTCAGTTTTCTTCAATTGGTGGATTTGCAAGCATGGAGTGTCCGAATCCGTTCATAGCGACCAAGATCCTAA